TATTTCCTACTTATAAGAATAAAACATCAAGATATTTCGAATCAATGCTCAGCCTTGGGCGTTTACCGTTTCTTGCTTTCTTAATCCGATTTTTAATAAATCCGTTCCAGTAATCCAGATGTCATTTGTTATTTGTATCATTAAATTTTGAAAAGTGTATTTCGAAATTTTATTTATATCTAAATTTTTGGATTATCAATCTGCAGCTCACAAAATATTCGTTTTCGTAGTAACGTTTCTAAAACATCCACTAATCCCGAAATTAACGAAAGCCTCCATCAGCGATTTTGGCACATCCATCGACTGTAAACACCAAAACAATTGCAATATTTTTTTTAAAAATTATAAGTTCAGTCATTCCCAACTATTACACAGCTCTTTAATCCGTTGTCACACAAAAGTATTTGCGACTAGTCCGATTTCGTTCATTAATATTTAATAAAAAAAAAATGGTAATAATCCAAATTTTAAATAAATCCTTTATATAGTATCTAATGATTAGATATTATAATCACGAGAAATAGAGAAAATTGGAAGTCATGTATTGAAGGGATCGATATTAGTTGTGACAACCATTCACTCTGTCATATCAAACATGCAATGGGTAGATAGGTGTCAATACTTGGCGACATTTCTATTGGACTTCAGCGTACGTATGAATTGTGTGGTTTATCAAAGCGCTGGCGAATATAGTCCTTAGTAAAAGTATTGTATGTGGAAATTGTCCATTAAAGTGAATTTAGGGGCACTAGTGACTTAACTAAACGGTCAGTTCCGTTTACAGGAAAAATAATTGGTGTGGCGCTAGGCAGTGTATGCTTACCCTTTAGACACCTGATAGCACTTTTCATTATGAAATACTGACTTATGACTGATATACTTCCTCATGTTAACAGTTCATAATGTGGTTTGGATTTCGGGTTGTGGTTCGGATCGTCAGTCTTCACAAGCTATTACGAACTTCATCTTATTGTTTGTTCACTTTCTGTCCAGCGAGACCCAGATTCGCTGGCATTAACCAATGAAATTGCCGCATTTACATTCTTCCGAGATACAAAAATAGTGGCTATTGCAGTCAAGGTATAAGACGAAATTTGTATCAGCTTGACATTTTGCAGATGGTATTGGGTATATTACTCCGCATGTGTATTCCGAAACGAGTTCAATACAAGTATTATTTCACGGTATATAGGTAATATATATATATATATATATATATATAGGTAATTCTATTGATGATTAGAAACGATTTAGTTTGAAGTTAAAGAAAGGAATGCGAGTGAAAAACTGAATATTTTCTATAACAATAGTAATGTGTAGTAGGATTATACAGTGACTAGGGTCTGTCGTCAATAAACATTGCCCATGAATGAAAGTATGAATAATGACGTTAATAGCACTGATCATTACTACCCTATTTAAATACACATCTAAACACATTAGTAGGTGAATAAAAACTTAAGGTAAAGTAAGATTTACGCCTTTGATTGCATGAATTTGAAAAAGGTTAATCGTACCTCCTTGGATTACTATGGGAGTATACAGAGGCCAATTAAACATTTGATGTACTGATATGACCTACATTGGACTCACCATTTTCGGAGGTTGAGATGGGCCTTTAATACTCGTAAAAATACCCTAGTTCGTTTTGTTGATAAGGTTTATGATGGGAAATACGGTATACGGATAATTTTTGATTTTTCAGTTCTTAACCTTTCTACATTATGTCTTGAAAAAGGCGAGTCGTTAATGTAATTTTCAAACAGGGATATATGGATACACATGGCTAAGAAGGCTAAAATTTCGATGGTAAGCAGTGAACACGTTGTATTCCGTCTTGTCACGGTTCTCACGGTAAGCTAGGTGAACGATAGCCGTTTCGTTACGGTGCGTCCTGATGTGTTACTCTTTGTATGCCGGAGCAATACGGCACGTTGAGTTCTGCTACGTTTAGACATGTATAAACCATGAGGAACTTAGCACAACCTAACAAAACTTGGATACGGAGACCAAAATCCCACGGCGCAATACGTTTCGGGCAAATTGTACTGTGGCCGCATGTTTGTACGATTAGAAATTTCTTGGTGTCCATTAAATTGCAATGGCAGGGGAATATATAAACCTTGCTCGATGTGCTTTACAAATATTTTTTCCATTATATAACACGCTATAAAATATATCTCGGAATCTCAGATCGACTGAAATGATAACCATTGATTCAGTTCGAATGAGCCATCTAATGGCATTTAAGAATTTCTTTCCGTTCTAAAATAATTAAACGCTTTTATTGGTGATAAAATATGTATACTGAACAATAAATAAGTAAGAATTATTAGATATTGATTAATACAGAATAATAAATATATTTTATTGACTAAATGACTATAACAACTTTCAGCAACCTGTTTACCACCAGATGTTTCGCTTACTCGTTTACATTTTATATTAACCTTGAACACTAATATTTAAATTTCGGGGAAGGGAGGGTTTGATTCTCCCAAATGTACAGGCCTAGGGTGGAGCAGACACTTTATTTAGAAATTAGGATTAAGGGTCTTGATATTGGGTTTTCTTCTGATCTTATTCTGATCTGAAATTAGAAAAAATAACTCGCCCGATGGGCGAGAAGTATAGTATCTGTTATGTACTGATTGTTTTTAGTTTACTATGAACAATATTATCATTTAAGTTCTTATTTTTTGAATATGCAACTATCATTTTCTGCTTATAGACATGGGGGAATTTCTCTTGAAGGCTCTTATAGTGGGCATGAACTATCTTGCTTGCTCGATGGCTGGTTGTATTAAACGGGACAACAAAGGGTGCTATGCCTACATTATGATGAATATTTAGTCCTATATGTCTTGCTGTATTCAATGTCTCAATCCAATGGGCTTCCCTAGATTGACGGAATTTGGTAGTTTCATCTTCGGGCAAGTCAAATATTTAAAGATACGTTATGTCGTAGACAAACACATCTTCCTTTTTCGAACTGTGTCTAATACCTTGACTGCAAACTTACCTTTCTTGTATCACAGAAGTTTTTAAATTTAGCAGATTGATTGGCTCGTACGTTAGCGTAATCAGTCAATCAGAGCCCTCGACAAAATACGCGGCTCTGATTTGTTGTATTCGATGTTGTACAATCCAATCAATAATTAAGTGGGAGTTTGTTATATTCTTTTGATTTGGTGGAGTTCTATATTATATGGCACTGTAGGTGGCCTATTTTGTCAGATCCTCTCTCTGTGTTGATGTAATTGTTGCATATTATTATGCCTCATCGAGTCCAAACCACAGCCCATTCATTATACTTCCTCGAGACCGTGATAATACACGTGAGAAACACTACGTATTCATAGCTGAATATTGTCCAATCAAAATTGGCCCTGCTGTCTTGCTGGTAAAATTTCAGCCAATCAATACAAATCACTCGTTATGAAGGTTTGTTCTACCGATCTGATTGGTCAGATTTGAGCAGCACTAATCTCATTTCCACGCCAAAAAAATGAAAGTCGAAGGAAAGATTAGTTTAATACTGGTTAATAAGACCATGTCAAAACCCGTATTCGGGATACGATGATTACGCCTGTGAAGTTTTTTGAATATTTCCTTGAAGTTTTTGAAAACGTATAGCTTAACAATGTTGTTTGTAAAAACACAATGACAACATCGTTGGGTTGGAATGTACGCACACAAAAAATTACAAAATCTTAAAAAAGGAATGCAAAAGTTTATTCTAGTTCAATATTCTATAATTGTTCAATGTTTTCTATTTGTGTTTTGTTTTTTATTGGCTCACAGTACCATTAGAGCTAAACCACAAATCAAATTTTTGATTTTATTTTCTTACTGTCAGCGGTTACACTTTTTGTTCGGAATTCTGGTTTCACCAAAGCGAATTTTTTTAAAGATTTTATGTCCATTCTAAAAGTTAGTATCCCATTAACCGTTGCGATGCGCTTATTTGAAAGACATTGCAGTATTATTCATCTCGTAGAATTTCATAAGCTCTAGCTACTTGTAGAACAGTAGCTTCTTCAAACATTCGACCAACAATCTGCATACCAACAGGAAGACCATCAGAAAAACCAGTACTAATAGTCAGCGCTGGATGTCCTGACAGATTAGTTGCTTTCAGGTTTCCTGTAAAATTACTTGTACGACTTTGGTATTTCTCTGGAATATAATTGAAGATTATTCGTACACAATACAGTATTTAAGTTGTAAGCTGCCTCCTCCCCCTTTCTTCCCTTGTTAAAAGGCAAAGGTAATATACGACAATGTTAGTTATATAATACTTTGAAGATAAACCAAATTAGTACGATATAGCAGATATTTCTGATTAGTTAATTAAAGGTATGGGTGCTATAAATGATTCTGGAATTTCGGAATAGGTGCAAAGGAAACGTTCATTTAGAAAGAATGTGCAAGTGACATGCAGAAAGACTTCTTTACGTGCTCCAAATATTAAACATGGTGAATGGTGGATGGAATCGTAGTATAATGCACAGTTTTCTTTAAAGGCCATACTTCGCCATTTCGGGGGTTGATTAAGATCATGAATATGTAAATATTCTTCAAAAGTCCCAGGACTGCTTGAAAATCACATAATTCCTTCAAAAATACCTCAATCTAGTAATTTTACTTTTTATTTCTATACAAAATGTCCTTCTATATATGTCAGAGTTGCAAAAAAAAGACGAGTCGTCATTTTAGCGTTCAAACGTGGATAATTCTGGACACACCTGGATTCGAAGGCTCGAATTTCGACGGTGAGCTGTGGACACTATTACTGATTGGCTTAGCTAAAAAAACCATCCCATTTCTGACATTAAGGTACGATTGGTCAAAAAAATGTCCCTTTAACAAATCACCGAAAATAGAACTCTTTGCTTGCGATAGACACAACTTACTGTTAACCATTTGAATGGGTGATTGGTTGATCATAAAGAATCCGGAATTAAATTTTTCTAAACCAATAAATGAGAACAACCAATATGTGTCATTAATTTTATTCTATAGTAAAAACCATTAATACAGCTTTTTGATATTAAATACAATTTAAAGTTTTAGGACAAGATGTTATTAAATTACAATATTTAATACACAGTGGTAAAAAGCGCTTAAAAAGTTTAAAATAACCCATAAAATAAAAAATAATTGATTTTTTTACAATTAAAATATCTGATAAAGCTCAATCGCTTTTATATTTGAAATATTTACAGTCATTTAAATCTTTTTAGCTATCTTTCACTACTCTCCAATAATTTGATTTCATTTTTGATTTTCGATTTTAGATTAGAAATGACATTTGATGTTATATCTTTGATTCTCGGGCATAGAATTTTAAAATATTTATAGTCGGCAGAAGATAATTATGCATATCCTGTTCTGTTACCTCGGGTTCGAATTCTTCTCAAGCTAAGAAAACGTCTGATGCCAATGCTAGGGCTTCAGAGAGTCGGATTTCATCCCCCTTTACCATTAAAACATAGTGTAGGGTAATATATTATCGTAAAATACAAGTGCATAACCATATTTGATCGATTATATAGAGTTAAAATTATCAATATATATATATATATAAAAAATGATTCATTTATTCAAGACGAACTCTCAACGGTATAAAAATTTGAAAATGTGATGTTAATAACTTTAAAGGAATACTACGTCTTAGAATGAACATAAAATTTAAGAATTTTAAACTTGGCCAATAAGAGCATATATTCATCAGTAGATATACCTGGTGTAATAAATAGCATAATAGGATCCTTATATAATCCAAAATCTTAGTAATCATCCATAAATATGCAATTAACTACTGAAAAACGCTTAATATTAAGCTTTTTCCAATAATTACTTAGTTTTATGAATTTTCCCGATTTTACAGGGATTCTGTTGTACCTTTATAACACAAGGTAAGTTTGCTGATGAATATATACTTATATTGACCATTCTTATGAACTTAAATTTTATGTTCATTCTAAGACGTAGTATCACTTTAATAATATAAATTATATATTTTGATTATTCATCTTCTCTTATTTTTTCAAATGCGCGTGCAATTTGCAACACGGTGACCTCATTGAAATATTTTCCAATTATCATCATTCCTATAGGAGCAGTGTCCGAATTTCCAGTATCTATGGACAAAGCTGGATGACCAGTACAGTCAAAGGGTGCTGTGTTAGCTGACATAGAATCAGAGATCTCAATTAATTCTGAAACATCAACCAGAGAGTTAAGTTCTACAGATTTAGACATTGGCGTTAAAGGGGTTGCAAGGAAGTTTACTACATATTGTATATGTATCGCAGACATCAATTTGTACCATTACGATTTTCAGTCAGACGTCTGTGATTTCTGCAATTCCACAAAAAATAATTGTTTGATGACGTCATTAATAGCAAATTTTGCTTTATTACATAAGACCCTTCACGATTAGTGACGTATTAGATCTTAGTTATAGTGGAATTGCAGGAACCACAGATGTCTGATTGAAAATTAAAATGGTGCATAATGATGTTAACAGTGTCCTCGATAACACATAAAATATTTAGAATACCTCTTCACAATCCATTTAACTAAAAAAATCTTTAAATACTATGAATGTAAGATTGATCGTGTGGAATACTTATTAGGGGCTTCCAGCCTTTTCAAATGCACGTGCAACTTGTAATACTGTGACCTCATTAAAGTGTTTGCCTACGATCATCATTCCTACGGGGTTCCCTTGAACATAACCTGCATTGATAGATAAGGCAGGGTGGCCTGTCGAATCAGTAGGTGATGTGTTGGCAATCATGGAGAACGCCGTATCAAAAAATTCTGAAAAAGGTGAGAAAGGCTGGGTTAGAGGTTAGGCATGTTCCATTTGTTAAAGACGTACGATGTTTATCATATGTAAGATGTGACAAACATCGTACAACGTTGATAAACGAACATGGGGGTTAGGATAAAAAATGCATTGTTAAAAGGGCATTCCGCTTTTTTCGTTATATTTAGTTGAAATCTTTAGAAAGAGTAGGAAACATATTATTCTCTACAGTTTATTTTACTCAAATCCTTACGGTAGTTGCGAAAAGCACAACGAACTTAGGGTGAAGTAACATTTTACGTAAAATTTTGGCGTTAAAATATTAACGGCTGGATAATTTTTAGTTAAAACTGTTAGATACGTTATAGGATACATTTCTACAGATTTTGTTTTATAGTTTAACAAATTTGAGCAAAACATTTTTCGACCTACAAAAACAGCGAAATGTCCCTTTAAAGGGTGATATAAAAAAGGTTCAGTCTCCTTGGCACGCCTGTAGTCAGACTGTTCTGCTGATAGTGTAAATATTCAGAAGATTGTACTAAGTTAAACTGATTACCATAAGTTATAATTGTTATATATACATAATAAACCATATAATAGAATAATATTAAAGCCTCTGACCCCCTAAAAAACATTGAAATCCCCCAGAAAGCATAGACGTTATATTAGGATGGGATATCGGAACCGTGACAATCGACATTATATTTCTGGCCCTAAATTCCCATTTGATATCCCATTCGAAAGCCAGATTTGTCAGGCTACAAAAAGCAAGTATATTTACCTATGGCAAGGTCAAGGTATAATATAGTACTAAAAGCTTTTGTTTTTGTAAGATAATTGCTGACTGAAGGTTGCAGAAATGCTTTAATTTGTAACGCTCAATCTGACTGACTTGCTTAATCAATGACCAGTTCTATACCTAACCCGGGTTGATTAATCTAAGTTCTGTGAACTATTTGTTTCGAAAAGGTTTTATCGGTTGTGAAAAGACCGACAATACAATTGCCACATGCAGAATCTGAATTGATGCAAAAGAAACCAAAAAAGCGATAAAAATCATAGATTGGCCATATAGATTTAGCAAAATTGACATTTCGTAAAATGATAATCAACCATGCCTTACTTCCCTTTGTAAATTGAAAATATAATCTGGGTAAGATATAGATTTAAACACATACCTGCTGTACTGCAATCAGCTTTTGGTAGTTTTCTTGCCTTATATGGCAGTGTTGGCATGATGAGGACATCAAATTCTTCCAGGGCCTTGTTATATTCATCAGTTAACCATCTTGTTAAATTCTGACTTTTAGCATAAAACTTGTTGCTATAGTTTCTGTTCATGTATTCTCCAATCAAGGTGGTAAGTTTACATGCTGTGGACATATCAAATGGTCGTGCTTTACGGCTACGATAAAAAGATTCCTGTAGGGATGTTATATAATGTCCTTTCCAATGGTAGCCGTTTCCTACAATTGAAAAATTGAATTTATTACATCAAGGTATAACGAAAGCTGCAAGGAATTAAACAGATCAATGGCGGCGCCAGAATGGAAGTACGAAAAGGGGACTTTATGGCGGGGGGGATTCGCTCAACTGTCTAGACAGAGTTTCAAAATGCTGAGTTTGATAGAATATTTAGGAAAAATAGAGTCGATTTAGTACAATTTGAAACATATTTTTGAAATAAATTTTTTTTCATGAAATAAAGCGATTCAAGCTTTCAGATTCCAACATAATCATGCGCAGAGATCTGTCCATGTAGAATATCCGTCTATAAATAATAGAACTCTTACCATTGCCGGCAATCATGTTGTTATAAGCACCCTGTAGACATGTTCCACTCCAGATTGCGTTACCTAAAATAAAACAAATGGACACTCCATCTTTAGAGGTGTGGAGGTATAGTTTTGTAAATTATTAAAATTCTAAAATTTCCTAAAAAGCAATTGAAGAAATCCCCTATTCACAAGCTATACCAATGAAACGAGATGAGAAAAAACATTAAATAGTGCAAGTAAATACCTCATCTTAAGAGTTACACTTATAAAACGGAGCTAACTTGGGCACCTTTGAAAGAATTGACGTTGGGCGTTGGCGAAAGACTACGTTCTGATTCAGACAGGGTTTTGAAATATTAAAGAAGGATTTCCTACCATCTAAATGAGCTGGTACAGAAGTATCACTGACAATGGCTCCAGCTTTCTCAAGACTCTTGGCTGCAGCTCGGACCATCTCCTTCACGTCTTCTTCAGTACATACAGAAAACCCTTCCTTAACCAACCCAATCTTCTTGCCTTTGATACCAGCATCAATCTAAAACATAATCGCAGTCGATTCAGAAGGAGAAAACATCTGAAAATAGTTCTAAAACTTCCTCTTCTGTGTTTTTTTGGTCACCGGTCACTGTCTTCACTCATTGTAGAGTGTTTGAAGAACTATGTCCATAACAGTGGCGACTGCAAAACTTTCGATTGGAGTGTGAGGGGGCACAGCCAAAGTGTTTTCGATTTTAAAATAAAAAGGGCTTAAATTCAGTATTTTATGCAATTTGAAAGAATATTCTTTCAATATCCTTAAATTTTTACAATGAAAATTGTATTCTTTGGTCTTTTTAAACCAATCTCCCCCGCCTCCCCTGGGGCAGCGACTGATCAATGAGACGTAAAAATTCAATTTTGAAATTCACTATCTGGCTTAGGAGAAAGAATGGAAGCTGTGAATAGAATGGTATTGGGGACTTCTGATGGTGTTCTGATGTAAAGTTATCCCAATATAAAATCTATAGTCCACTTACCAGAGAAGAATATGGTTCCACCTTTATATCACGTGGTTGTCTTGGATCACGTCCGTCATCGTAACCTGCCATAACCTAAAATCAACAACAAGTTGAATATGGAATGGATCTGAAAACTACTTAGCGCAAATGATTCTCAGTATAGTCAATTATGTAGATAATAATGTAACTTCATCAGCCATAAACGCTAAAGTCTGGACTCTAGCAAAACCTTTACGTTCGGCCGTGAGGCATGGAAGTCCGATTCTTGTTCTGAAAAGTACAACGAATAGCTTAAATTAAGATTCACCAGCTGGTGAATCTTATATATCAATAACACATTTCATGTAAGAACCATGCGTTGTTTCGTTTGGGAAGGTGGCACTACCAGTAATGACATCAAAATGATCTGAATCTCTAAATGAAAAAATCTTATAATATGATATTATGAGGCTAATCATCATTACTTATATACCGACCTCTAAAAGTAAGGCACAATCGTGGACAGTTCTGGCCATCGGCCCTAAATGATCCACAGTAATTTCTATAGGCATAGCTCCAGTGTAAGGTACTAGTCCGTAAGTTGGTTTTAGTCCCACGATTCCAGCCCAGCACGCAGGAATTCTGATGGAACCACCTTGATCTCCACCTACTGCAAGATCAATAACTTTACCAGCTACCTGAAATATAATACAGAGGTGTTGTTTCAGAAATGACTTAAGATCAAAAGCGAATTAAAATTTTAGAGCTGTGATAATTAGACTGAAACGTCTTGAACATCCGTTGTGCTTTTCTTTGAAATTTTGTACTACATGCTAAAGTAACAGATGCGCCATTTAGGATGATTGATTTGAGTCTTGAATATTTATAAATAGAAGTAGAAGCACTAGAACTACACAAAAATCGCATAATTCCTTCAGAAATATTTCAAACTGGGAGATATATTTCGTTACATGTCTTTTCTATATCCGGCAGTCTGAAATGACGAATTGTCTTTTTAACTTTCAAACGCGGATGATTTTGGACACACATGGATTTGAAAGCTCAAATTTCGATAGTGAGCCGTGAACGTTATAACTGATTGGCTTAGCTAAACAAATCCCGTTTCTAAGACTAAGGTACGATTGGTATAAATAAAAAAGCGCATGTGTCCCTTTAATTAGATTGGAAGTAACTACCATACAAAAGTACTTACTAAAGCAGCACTGCCAGAGCTTGAACCACCAACACTTCTTGTTTCATCATAAGGATTCCTGACTGGACCGGAAGAACAAGTTGAGCTGCATCCACTAAAACACAAATCTTCACAAGCTGCTTTACCCACAATACGTCCTCCTGTGATTCAAAGCAAATACATTAAAATTTGTTTGCAAAAATTGCAAGGTAAATGGCATGATAAAGATTCGTATTTCAGTCTCTGTCCAAAAGCAAGATGGCGTTCGATTTGAGAGTTCTGAACAAGTACTGTCTATACTGTCCCATTCGAACGGTATGAAAGCTGATTATATGTCATATTCAAAATTACCCTGTCTACACTTACTCTTGTTTGGGCACACGTGGAACGCGTTCTTTTTTCTGTTCCAAATTGTTTTATTGAACGATCTGTTGATTCCATGAGTCCTGAACGTACAGGACTCACCAATCGAGCGGCCTCTAATACTATTATGAGCAAAATCACTGTCCAAATTCTAATCAATATTATTTATAGAGCATTACAAACCTGCATCGAGAATTCTTGTTACCAATGTTGCATCAAACTCAGGGGTGTACGATTCTAATAGCTTGGACCCATTCATCATGGGTACACCTGCTACCCCGATATTATCTTTGATACCCACTGTTTTTCCTGCTAATTTACCTTCTTTGGCCCCTTGTATGTCACACTTCCATGCCCTGTAAAATGACAGTTTATTTAAAATATAAATGACGTGTCCAGTATTTTGTGGTAGCAAAATAGGGAGATATCACCCCAATGCCAGTAAGTCAATTGCTTGCGGGGATGATAGCACATATGGATTTTTAACCCGGTTCCCCATGTTGGTGATACAGATCTGAAGGAAAGCATGGACTTTTTTTTGTTTTTTGATCTGATCTCTTTAGATAACTTTGGGTAGATTTGATTGAGACCCTAAAGCCGTGGTTCCTATCCAAGCGCTAGTACATTTTTTACAATACCAGCATTTACCCTTTTACCCCTTTTAAGGTGGTTAAAGAGTGCCAAGAACTACTAAACATGGAAAAGAATGTCAAAGGATTTGGAAGAGCAGGCTCTGAAACAATTCGATTACCAGGCATTGTAAGGGTTATCTTCTCTTGCAGGTCTGTAACCCGGAGTTCGTGGATATTTTACAGGAAGTGCTGGTTCTGGTAGTTGAGATATTCTCTGGAGTGCTTTGGCTGTACCTTTAAAGTGCCCTAGAATCAGAACGAGTGTAGTTATCGTGCGGTAGAGCTTAATGTTATTGGTAACTTTTCGTTTTACTTTAAAGTGTATTATTATCTTATGTACCAAAGGGTCATTATAAATCTGTTTGACTCGATGAGTAATAAGGTAATTTTCATACATCTATGATATTGCTTAAAAGGGCAGATTCGTCAACTTTGGTGATTGATTCCGGTCTTGAATTTTTGTATATCCTCTTCAGAAGTGCTAGAAATGTATGAAAATCGCATAATTTCCTCAAAAATACCCCCAAACTAGGAATTTTACTTTCTATTTCTATACATGGTAGAGTCTCAAGAAAAAAGGGTCGTTATTTTAACTTTCTAACGCAGATATATCTGGACGGTGAGCTATGAACACTATTACTGATTAGCTTTGCGAAATTTTTCCGTTTCTGAAACTAAGTTACGATTGGTCAAACGGATGACGAACTTATACCTTTAAAATTCAAGATTTTTAAACAATTCTATTCAAATGCTATTCATCGGCATGTGTTGGCTCCTGTCATTCTTGACTCGTCTATACTGGATTATCTATTATCAGCCGAAATACATTTATCATGTCTTTCTTAATAGGACACATATTAGTGTAATAAGAACGAAAATAATACAAAATTGATATAATTATAAGCTGACGGACTCTCCACGACAGATGTCGATTTGACAAGTACAATCTTATAGCGACATTGGGTAGTACAGCTACAAATAAAATCCAGACAAAATTCCCCTTATTTCCCCTTTCCTATTATTATAAAGTGTAGTTATCTGCATTAGGTTAATAGAATAAGAAAGAAAAGTAGGATGCAAAACAGCATTTTATGTTATCTAATTTACAAACAATAGTCCGAGAGTGCAAACCTGTAATGGCCTCTAATTCTTCTGTTGTACATTTTAGGTTCAATTCGTCTGACAGTTTTGTAAGTTCATCTTGTGTAGGTAAACATACAGCCGGGGATTCGTACAGATCTGAAAAAGAAAGAAATGGGTGAAGTATATTAAAGGGAGGTTTTCTAAAATTTATATGTGTATTGGGGACACTGATAGCATCAATTTGCACCATTCCAATTTTCAATCAGACCTCTGAGGTTTCTGCAATTGCACTAAATTTTCGATTTGATTGTATGCTAGCGAATATAGCCAATCATAGCCATAGATAGAAAGACTAAACGATGTAATCGGGGGCTCTGATTGCCTGTATTCGCTTGCGAAACAACCAAACAAACTGATACATTTACAAACTTCAGTGATACAAGAAAGATTGCTATTGAAGTCAGGGTATTAAACGCAGCTCGTAATACCTTGACATTGTGAAGATGGTTTTTGATAAGGTTAGAAATGATTAACCATAATTCATAACCCAGCCACAACCTTGTACAGGTCTACATGACATATATATATGATATGAGAATTAAAATCCCATCCTACTTCAATTTCACTGCATTACCTGTTGTTAAAGAGATTGAAAATACGTTTTTCTAAATTGTTCATGTGTATCAGGGACAACATAGGATCACTTTGCAACATTCCAATTTGTAATCAAACGTCTGTGGTTCCTGCAATTCCACTAAAACTAAGTGATTGATGACGTCATTAATCGAGAAGACCTAATGTGATTGAAAAAAAGCATATTTCGGGCTTAGTGACGTAATCAAACACATAGTTTTAGTGAAATTGCAGTAACCACACGTCGGATTCATATTATAAAAAATTTAGAAAAAAACCCTTTACAATCCCTTTAAATATTACGATTATATTCAGGTTATGATTACTATACATGGAGGTGCATATCTTCTTACATGTTTAAGGTCTATCTTATAAAGTTATTTATTTGTTTTACTGTTTGAAATGCATATCATCTTATCATCATATCTTAATTTTGTTAACTCACAGGGATATAATTTTTATAAGTTAATCAATATTCGACTGGTTTAAATTGATATTTCTCAATAATATTCTAAAGCTTTCAATTTCTACCAGCCCCAATAAAAAGGCCTTTTTCAAGTAGCCATTGGCCAGTGATAGTAACATTGGCCTGTAATTTTACAAGAAAGAAATCGATATCATACAATAGAAACGAAAGAAATGATCATTCAACTCAGTATGTGTTTTAAATACGTTTTGGTATTGCATAATATACGCATAAAGAAGCTACAGATTTCGCTGATATTTTTAGTTGACCTAATTGAAGGTAATTTTAAAGGGACGGGCTGATTTGTGTCTTTAATGATATATAGTCTTCAGAAGTACTAATAATCGTATACACGTAATTTCATTCAAAAGTACCTCAAACTAGGAATTTCACTTTCTACTTATATATATATATATATTATCTTCTACATAATGCCGAGTCTCTAGAAAAGACAAGTCGTCTTTTAAACTTTCAAACCCGGATAACTCTGGACGCACATCGCATTTAAAAAAAGCGGTAGGTGTCATTTGTTTGTCATACTACATGATATGATCAATTTTATTACTATTCATTTGTCTTACAATATGTTCTATATATATCTATAAATCTATATTTTGTTATCTGAAGATTTTCCATTTGACCATAAATCATTTATCCCAGGTCAAAGTTCGTTCAGTCGTATCAAACAAATATGCATATATACCCTATAAAGATCACCTACTCCACTCCCTTGACCACAACAAAAGCACACCAATACATCATAATTATACTGCAATTTACCCGAGAGTGCATATATATAATTTCGCAAATGCCTCGGTTTGGTTTAATGAATCGAAAATGCACGTTCTTAGGAACCGAAGCATTATTTTACTCCGGCATATAAGGGATTGAAATTGTCTAAATTCAAATTAATATTGACGATGTGAATATCACAATCGACTTTACAAAACATACTTTTTGAAGTCCTAGCGACCTTGACCTGCCATAAAGATAACCAACTGTTTTTAACACAAGCGATTGTGCACAGATACACATGCAAGTGATAAACGACAACAGTATATAACGTTTGCATTATGGTGCTTGATGAAAATGGACTTTTTCAAGACGTACCGTAGAGGATATAGACATTTATATTACAGAGCTAAATCATAAACAATACCTACCGTTTGTCGCCATGTTGTATATACTGTCAGCTGTAATTTCTATACTGAATATTTTCACTGGTATTTATATATATAGGCTTACAGTGAACTCTGTGCTCGTGTAGCTTATTTATATCAGGTCAGGTTAATTAGATCTTATTGATCGAGTCTAGAGTACATTATGAGTTACAATTGTTCGAGACTGAAACTCGCTACTATATCGATCGTGTCCCAATATCATTTGAATATGCCATTTCTTTTGGCAATGGAAACGTTATCGTGCTTATTTTCGGTATATTAATGGACAAACATAAACGAGCAAGAACCTGTTTTGAAAAGGGCAGTTGTTTTCCCCCCAGCTCCCCGAATTCTTAATTTCGACGGTGAGCTGTGAACATTATAATACATTCCCGTTACGAGACTAAGGTAAGGGTAAACGGATGGCGATGACTAATCCCTCGAAGAAATGGATTGCCATCCTGAAAAAATTCTGACAACCGACCAATTCCATTAATGCAAGTAAACACAATACATAATTGTCCCTCCGGATTATGTAAGCCTGGCTACAGGCCTGGTAATTCTCGATAAGACTGAATTAAAACACCACTACTGAAATCATTGTTTACTCATCGTAAAATTTGGTATAAATTCTTTCAAGGATAAAATTGCATTTTCAGTTTTCAAACATACATAAGAACAGACTTCTCTATTCGGTCATATTATGTGAATTCATTTTCCACTTTGTGTGCGCTGCAATGCAGACTGTTCTTGGGTATGTTTGGAAATGTGTAACGATGTGCATTTATATCGTTGAATGACTATGTACAAATTATGTGTACATATTTGGAATTTTATTTTCAAAGACAGTTAAGGGATCAGCATAAAAATTGTTGACGAATTTGGCTTCAGCCGAATAACCTTTATAGGGCAGAAATAGCTCACAATGACCGTTACCAAAACAATGATTAGCCCAAGTGAATACGTAAGCGATACGTTTAGTCGTTGCTTCCTGTTTCAAGACATCCAATATATACTCTTTCCAGAAGTCGGTATGCTTCTCAAGGCCATTATTCATATATCCGGTCTCCGTTATGGCTGTAATCTTATCCTTCTTCTCACCGAGTTGGACCAGGGTTTTAACTGATTGTTGAAATGTGGATTTCTTATCATAATCACTAGCATAGTACCAGTCCATACCCAAAACATCTACATATCGACTTCCTGGATACGTTTTAAGATAATCTGCTTCGTCCTTGAACTTGTCCGGACTGAAAGCGTACAAGAAGTTGTGGACTCCTTTCTTGTCTCGGAGGTATTCAACTGTGTAAATATACAAGTTTTTGAGGTCCTGTTCGGTGTTCTTTGCCTTGTTATTTAGTCCCCACCAGAACCAACCGCCGTTCAATTCATGAAGGAATCTAAAAATAACCGGAATAAGATTACCATTGGAATCTTTAAACGAGTTGGTCCAGTTGGCTACTCTGTCTAACAACTGGTTAAACTTGTAATGGTGATCACCACCAGGGAGGATCCGTTGGACAGATCTTAGAGTATCACCTTTATCGTTGTTAATCCACGGGCTACCACCAGTTACAGGATTACTGAAATGCATCGACATTGTGATTATCTCCCCTCTTTCATAAGCAAGTCTGCCCAGCCAAGATGACGTTATAGTATGTTTCGGGTCGTCTGCGTTGGAAAAGTCCATACCTAGCAAAGCGGGGTAAGAACCAGTCATTCTCTTCACGTCACTTAAATCATCGAGTGACTTCGTCTTAGCTTGATAGTCCTAAAGTGACAAAATAAAGAAATTATGTACATGTCGGGAACCTTAGACAGGATTGAAACAATGGAGCACTTCCTTAACGAAGCCTAGTTGGGTAAGTCTTCCTTAGCAACTGACATAATGGCAGCTTGCCCAAAGCAATTTAAAAGCATGATGGAAATTAATTTACATCTATACGATTTATGAACTGGAAGAAGTACTGCGAAACCAAAATAAAGTATCAGTAAGCACAATTGCAATTTCCTCACAAAACAAATATTGCACGTTTTGTATTACATTCTGTGTTTGTTAAAGGGCTGAATTGTAAACAGACGCTTTTTATGTGTTAAATAATAGAGGTAAGAGTGCTATAAGATTGAGCTAGATCTTTGAACGCGGTGATGATTGGTGGACTTACCCCATAAATCCATCCTTGGATACCTCCGTCATGAGTCAGAGTATCTATCAGGTACGGAGAGTGACCACCTTCAGCTCCAAGCCATGTATGCTCTTGTTGTCCAAACAAAATTTTACTTTCATCCCTGCTCAATGCTTTCAGTCTTTTATAAAGATTTTGAGTTTCCTGGGTAGCCTTCGGATCGACGATTCCCAACACCACATGAAGACACAGCGATAGAATGAGAACTCCCAGCATGGTGAAGCCTTGACCAGCTGCGAGTAAATCATTTAGATTGACAAATATAACCTAATAGAACAACTGATAAGATTTTAAAGATATGTTATTCTTAAGTAGCTCAGGCCTACCTTTACCTTGATAAAGACCATTTTATGATTAAAAGAAAAACCTGCCGTCTGAAAGTTTTTGAAACTTTACTTTACCCAGACCAGTATTATCACGTTAATGATATGGTTTTTTTTTTTTAACTATTTGGTATTCGTTCTTATTCCCTTGTGGGTATGCATATTTAATTCAGTTAGGTAGTCAGGTTGGTTACTTGGCCATAGAGAAACCCACTGTAATCCTAAAGGAAGGAAATATGGAGCAACGGCTAATTAAGGGTGGGAATCTACACAACTACGCAGGTTTTCAATGTACTTGCCAACAAAGGTAGCCTACAATTTCCTGATTTCCTTACGTTTTTTTGCCTTTACTTCCTGTGAAATATGATATATCTACATTGTTTTGTTTCGCGATATTTTTATACTATCGTCCTTTAAAATAATAATGAAGAAATACGGCTGATAAAACGACAAACGTCGAGGAAACGAGGTAGGCTTTTCAAAAAGGTTCTTTGGATTAAAAGCAACTGATAAGTTAAGTTATAGTAGATAGTTCGTTGAGAACTGCCATACAGAAAGAGCTCGTTGCTGTTAAAACACAGGCAATGTAAAAAGAATCAAATAATTCGGCCTAATGTGTACTACAGACCACAACAAATTGAAATTGTCTCCCTTTGACCACGAGTAAACTTTCTTTTTATTTGAATATTCTGTTGTAGTCTAGAATTGAAGCACTGATAGATAACATGTCAGTAATCTCATGATCACTTAGAGGGACAAATTCGCCATTTTCAGAGGTTGATTTGGGTCTGAAATATATGTAAATAGTCTTCAGTAGTATTAAAAATTTGCGAAAATCGCATTATTCCTTCAGATATACCTCAAATTTCACTGTATATTTGAATATATCTCTTGTCTATATAAGGCAGAGTCTCGTGAAAAGACGAGTCGTCATTTTAACTTTCATATGCGGATAATTATGGACGCACGTAGATTTGTAGACTCAAATCTTGACGTTGAGCTGTGAACATTTTTACTAATAGCTTAGCTAAAAGTTACCATTTCTTAGACTAAGGTACGATTGGTCAAACGGATGACGCATCTGGACCCCGTTTCTCAAATATTCCTACGACTAAACTTGCACGTTAAGCGAAGAAGAACGTTATTTCTGACGTTATCGAATCGTTAATTTATAACGTTTACTGTGTATGCTAATCTAAGATATTTTGAGAAACGGGGCTCTGTTCCATTTTTTTTTTGGACCAATCATACTTTAGTCTCAAAAAACGGGATTTTTTTAGCTGAGCTAATCAGTAATAGTGTTCACCATATGTGTCTTCTAAGATTATTTACATATATTCAAGACTAAAATCAACCCCCAAAATGGCGCATCTGTCCCTTTAAGATGATAGTTGAACAAGCCATAGCCCGTATTGAACTGCACGTGCTTGTTATTTTAGTCGTCATGTGACATGATATTTCATTGACAAGATGGCAAGTCAGAAAGTCGTTTGTGTTGTCTTTGCTTGGATTATTTTACTTAGTGTTTACATTATGTGCCAGATTAAATGGATTTTATACTATAACTGGGCCTATTATTTATGATAATCTCCAATTGGAACCACTGAATATACATGGAGTAATGTATTGTCGAATTGTATGATTGTAAGTTCGTCTATGCTTTATTCAATTCTGTTCGCTTATATCGATGATACCACTTCTCATTATGAAATACTCACTCACTTATTGATATACTTCCTCATGTTAAAAATTCATTGGCTGCTACCAATATTTTGTCAATATGTTGTTACGGATTTCGGGTTTTGTTTTTCGGTTCGGATCGTTAGTACTTGGTTTATTTATCCAGAAATCGCCCCTTTCTCGTTTGACCTCTACACTCTCTCATTTCATAAATATTCAAAATAAAATTTTAACTTTATGTCATTTGTCTTAGAATGTCTTCGGGTCTATAGAAATATAACGTTCAGTGATTTTACATACATACTTCCCTCCCAGAAATTCACTTGAAAATTACATACTTTTCGGACTGAAAATTCCCCTCTGTTAAATCTTGTTTACAAATAATAACTCTTCCATTGGTTGACATTTTCACCAACTCAAAGACAATCTAAGACTCTCAGTAGTATTTTGTAGTTGATATTTCAATTCATCCGAAAGTGTTTGGCAAAATTCATTTCAGAACATTGTAGTCAGAGAGTACATGTAAATTATTCCCATTTCGTACCTTTCAATTTCGTACCTTTTCCCATCTCACCGCTTTACATTTCTCCTCTTCTCGTTTTTCCCCTTTCCCATTTCGTCCCTGTAAAGTAAATGAACCTTATATTTCTATGGACCGGAAGACATGCTATGGCGCTCTAAGTAGTTAGAGAGTAATGCTAGGTTGGGTTCTCCCAGGTTGTCAGAAGAGCTGACATTGCATAGATACTAATCTCTGAATTGAATTTTGGCAATCATTTTCATATGAATTGAAATATCAACCCTTAGAGTTATCCCTTTGGCAGACATGGAAAAGACGCCTTGTTGTTCGGATAGAAGAATAAACCAAGGCCACGTGTGCTACAGGTTGTTCACGTTAAAGATCCCCCGACAGTTGGAAATCGAAAAAGAGCAGCCTAATGCCGCTGTCCTAGCAAAATTTCCCTCATTGCACCCTACATGAAGGACGTAAAACTCCATTTCATTTCATTACATTATTGGTCAGTTACAGACAACAATAGTGTTAAATTATCTCCCTTTGACCACATGCCGTTTTGTCAAACAAAATTATTAATGCACATCTGTTGATAACAGGAATAGTATGGTTCAATGTAGAATTTGAAGTGAAATGAATTGGTTTACGTCTTACTTATTTGTGCCTGATTGTGCTAATGTCTGGGGCCTACTAGACTCTCATAGCAGCCAATGGATTCAGGTGGCCTGGGGGGCCTTAATATTCTCTTCACAGGAGTGAGGGGAGGGTCATGGTTTTGGACGATTTTCTGTAGCAATTTTAATATCAACCTACAGTTAAGTCAGTCTGCCCCCTATTTGTACCCCAGTCTTGGTCAAACTTGTTTAGACAGACACAATTGACAAACAGAATTTTCATTAACAACCTAAGCCGAAAATGTATAAAAGATTATTTCTAGACTACAGACCACATTAAAAATTAAATTATCTCCCTTTGACCACATGCCGTTTCAATTGGCCCAAGCTGCATGAATTTGCATTGTTGATGAATACTAGTTTCATAACTCAAAATATAAATAACACAATACACCATCTTTACAAATGATTCATGACATTTTATTAGTTAAAGAGTGAGAGCTATGTACTTGATCACAGCAACATTGTCTGTCAACATTTAATACACATGTACTTGCGTATTTGTTAAACAGGCTGTCCATCGAAATATTGTGTTCATTATATTGTGCCCATCGGACTGAATGTTAGACAGGACTATGTCCTTGTGTATAAGGCTTAATTTTGACCTTGAGTCAAGAACCAAATTAGAAAAGTCAACTAAAGGAAATAAGAATATCAATACGTGAATTCTTGGAATTCATTTTTGTATTGATTAATAACTTAATAACTTTTTTTAAAAAACCTAATATATATATCAAAGATCTGAACAAGGAAAAATGATCTGCATAATTGTAACTGTATTTTATTAAACGGTCTAAAAAATGCATCAAAGCAAATTACTCTAACAAGTCAAGTGTCTGATATAAATATGTCAAATCCCCAATAAATACCGTAAAAAAAAATTACAGCCAAAATAATTTACACGAAATATATTGAAACTCTACATAAAATACCACAAAAAATGGGAAAAAGTATTGGAATTTTGGATGATAACTTTTTTGAAAATATAGGTAATCGTATATATAAAGTCAGTCATAGTGTTAAATTTCGTAATTTTGAATTTAAATATTTGCATAAAATTGCTTACACAAGACGTTTAAATTGTTTAAAATGGGAATAAAGAACAACACTTTGTGCTACTTTTGCCTTTCAAACTTAGAAACTGTACAACATCTTTTCTTTTCATAACTTGCACAAAAACTCAAGTAATTTGGAACCATTTTATTAATATCCTGGAAAAGAACACAATTGATATAGAATTAAAAACAATAGATAATCATCTAAGTTATTATGATGATAGTAAGATACCACCATCGCTATGACACTTCATTAACCAATGTATTATTTTATAGAAGTATAGAATTATATTTTTAAGGCAAAATGTTCTGAAAAATCTTTAAATATTCATTGATTTGAAGGTTGATTTGAGTCTTGATATAAATAGTCTTCAGAAGTATTAGAAATGTACGAAAATCGCGTAATTCCTTCAAAAAAATTTTTTCCTATTTCTACAGATGTATTTTCAATATATAACAGTGTCTCAAAAAAGACAATTCATCTTTTTAACTTTCAAACGCGAATAATTTTGGAAACATGGAATTTAAGCCTCAAATTTTAACGATGGGCTGTGAACTTTATTACTGATTGGCTTAGCCAAATAAAAATCCCGTTTCTGAGACTATAGTATGATTGGTAAAAAAAAAATGGGCAGTTCGGGCAAGCAATTAGAGTAAGTCATGCATTAGTAACATCGGTTTGAAAATAGATTTGATAACTTTGCATTCTAAAGGTACGCCTCTCCCTCTATACAATTTCACACGAACACATGTATGTATTTTATGTTTTCACTGGAAATTGTTAAATGATAATTTAATTATGTCTTTGCTTTTTTAAATTTATGATGCCGAAAAGTCAATCTTAATCAGTCATCAGGACTAAATTCGAATTTATTCGAATTAATAGCAATTTCTTTTTTATTCCTATTTTTTTCTTTTTTTTCTTTTTTGGTGTGGTGGCTAAGCTAGTTCGACGCTTGCTAGCTAACCTGAAGGTTCAGGGTC